GTGTTCGAAGAAAGATATGGAGAGCGACTTTCGGTGTTCGAAGAAAGATATGGAGAGCGACTTTCAGTGTTCGGAGAAAGATATTGAGAGCGACTTTCGGTGTTCGAAGAAAGATATGGAGAGCGACTTTCAGTGTTCGGAGAAAGATATGGAGAGCGACTTTGGAGAACAGAAGGTCTGTAATTGGTGATGCTATTTATGACTTGAGATTTCTCGCTATGAATGAAAAAGAGTTTTCTTTGAATGTTGCAACATCTGGACTACTCACGGCTGAAGAAATAGTTCCAATTTACACAAAATTCAATGGAATTTATTCACCTGATCTAAAGTGGAAATTATCAGAGAAACGTTCTACGAGTGATATATTATCAGATAAACGTTCTATGAGTGTTATATCATCTATGAATGATAAAATATCAGAGAAATGTTGTGTGCCTATGAGTGATGATTTAAATTTAGAAAAAGAAGAAGCCCCTGTACAAGGTTATTTTTATCATATGTCAAAACAGAAAATAGACAAAGAGAAACGGACAAAGAAAAAAGAAAGAAATCCAAAAAACGTGTAGAGAGCGGCTGTCCACAAGTAGATGAAGACTACAGTAGTTGAAAACAGTTTCGATTAAGCCTAATTCTTTAAATACTTTGGCATGCTGTTTTCATTATTAAACTGTTGGACAAACTCACAAACATTATCCTGACAAGGAATCCTTGCCGATTTTTTACTAGTTATAATACATTTATAAAGAAATATAGTGAAACTGTGTTATGCAAATTGGTATGCTTTGAAACAAACATTGATTGAAAAATTTCTTATTTTTGGTAATTGTCTTTGCATGTATTTTCTATCAAACAACTATTTTTGTAGCCCGATAATAATTTCGCAGTAAAAAGGGAAGTCTGTTCAACGTCTTGTTTTAATCACTGATCGTTCAATCCATATCTTGATTTTGTCACCGTTGTTTCTCAGGGCGCTGCTAATCTGCTAATCTTCGGATTGTGTTTGATATTTTCCGGTCTGACCATTGCCGTGCGAAGAAGAGTAGCCATAGACTTGTCTTTGATGGGTTCTTGGAAATTTTGAGTGTAAATTCTGTACATTGATTTAGACCTAACCAGAAACAGTTGCGACAAATGCAACTATGGGCCTTCTTCAGAAATCGAACCTGCGATTCCAATGCAGCGGTCGTTGATATATTAATGATATTACGACTCTAACAAACTGGGTCAGGTCATTCGGAGCTGCAGGCCTTAAAATATCTTTTCCAGGGCCGTCTGACAAAATGTCCGGTGATGTTGAGTTTGGGTCGGACATATGTCCGATGACTTTCAGTTCAGTTTTGACTCGGAAATAAGTCTGAATGACACAAATGAATAAACGGTAAATGTTGTAAAGATATTAAATAATTTCTTTCATACTTATTTCCAAGCCAAAATCAACTCACTTGCCAGAACAGCAGTGTTAAAAAAGACTTCGACAACTTTAAGCCCGTTTTCCACTTCACCATTTCGCTCGCCGCCCCGCGCTCGACTACGTTAAAACAACATTTCCAGTACACCTTTTATACAATAGTACGTCGGACAAAGCTACAGTTCGGTCGGACACCAATTCACTTGGGTCGGACAAACAATAAACCTCAGTTTCACTTTGGTCGGACAGAATGTCCGGTGGTTTCCTCTCTACGTCGGACAATTTCACGAACGGGTCGGACAATGTCCGTGACCGACCGATATTTTAAGGCCTGAGCTGGATTAGCGCCAACGCTGGGTTAAAACTTAACCTGCTATTTCAGTTTATGTATAGTAAACTGAGAGAAAGAAATCTTCTGAATACAGATAAGATTTCTGAAGAAATATTTCCAAATTGATAAACAAGTTAGGAAGTTTGCTTTGAATTTTAGGTTAACCTAGGGTTAAGCTTATCGGCTGTCGAACAACCGGAGCTATAAGTGCAAGTTCATGTGTACATACTTAGGTCTTCTGTATATCGAGAAGTACATGTTTTCCGTTGATTAGGATCGAAACATTTTCCACGAAGGTCAAAGTCAACGCTGGACCCCCACAGATTTGCTTATTATACTATCAAATTACATGTTTCGTTTTTATACTTCCGCTTTGTCTTTGTCTGTTCGTTGAGCAAATAAAATCTCTTCAATACTGACAATACAAATCACGATTTTTTATAAATTCATTCTTTCTAAAATGGCGTTTGCTCAAAACGACGACGTGATCGTGCACTGTGAATCAAAGCCCCCTCAGTCCGATGTAAAGCAGTCAGCTCATTCCGTAGACTGGCAATCAACAAAGAAAAGCGTCTCAGAAAGAAACAGTCATATGTTCAACAATTCAGACATGAGTGATATCTGTTTTACTTGGGAAGGTTCAGACAAGATATTGTACGCTCATAAATATGTCTTGGGCACCAGTAGTGCCGTATTTCATGCGATGTTTTATGGCGACTTGGCAGAGAAGAATTCAGTTGTTCATCTCAGCGATACAGATGAGAAAAGTCTGGAGGAATTCTTGAGGTTCCTCTACACGGATGAATGTAATTTGACAACAGACAATATTATATCAGTCTTGTATCTTTCTAAGAAATATATCGTGCCTTCACTAACCGAGAAGTGTGTGAATAACTTGAAATGTAGTATAGAAGCCGAGAATGTTATGAGCATTTTGGAACAAGCAACGCATTTTGACGAGAGCAAATTAGAGATGAGTTGTTGGAAATTTATAGAATCAAATACGAAGCAAGCTGTTGTGTCAACAGATTTCGATAACATCAGCCAAAAGACACTGGCGAGTTTACTGAGTCGTAACGACCTGGATATCGTTGAAGTCGAATTATTTCGAGCTGTGTTAAAATGGAGCGACTTTCAGTGTTCGAAGAAAGATATGGAGAGCGACTTTCAGTGTTCGAAGAAAGATATGGAGAGCGACTTTCAGTGTTCGAAGAAAGATATTGAGGCAACAAGGGAGAGCAGAAGGTCTGTAATTGGTGATGCTATTTATGATCTGAGATTTCTCGCTATGAATGAAAAAGAGTTCGCTCAAAATGTTGCAACATCCGGACTGCTCACGGCTGAAGAAATGATTCCTATTTATAATAAATTCAATGGAATTGATTCACCTGATCTAAAGTGGAAACTATCGGAGAAACGTTCTATTAATAATAAGATCGGTTCATCCGATGTTCATCCGTTGTTCCAAAAATACAAATGTCATGAAAAGGGATTTTATGACTATGTTTGTCGTAAGCCGGAAGAAGAAAGCGGGAGAAAAAGTAAAAACAAAACTAAAAAGTACACTGCCACTAGAGCCTAGTTAATTATGATGACAACATTAGTAGTTAATATATTGGACACAGCATATTTTTGTTTTCATTGACATTGTCCTGACAAGAGATTCTTACTCGAGACATTGATTTCTTACTAGTTACAATACGTTTCATTTCAGCTACTTTGTCTATTCGTATTTTACAACATTGATCTCGTTAAACATATAAGGTTATATAATATTGATTAGTTTAATTCGATTTGAAATATGTGGTATATTATCGTGTCTCTCAGCCCTAGTTCAAACTTACGTGTCAAGCCTAAAATCTCATTTACATTATATGCTTATGGCCTGAGCTCATTTGCACTGGATTTGCATTAATACGTAAAATGTATATTTTATAGTATATGTATAGTAGAGGTGTGCATCGGATCGGATTGGACGTTTATAATCCGACAATTGCCTAATGTTTAAAATCCGATCCGAAATTGTTTAATCCGAATCCGATCCGAGTTTTGATAAAGCATTCCGATCCGATCCGAAGAATTCTTTAATAAAATACATTTCTCATAAAACCAAATCATTTAACCAAATAAATATAAAAGAAAGAAATACATGTCAAGAAGCTGACAAAGTGACGTCCAATTGAAGTATCAAACGAATAATGCAGCGACAACCGCGATGATGCTTTGATAAATGCATGGATAATTAATTCTTGCGATAATGCGTGGTTAATTAATTCATTTTATTTCGGACATTGAAGTCCGATCCGACTACGAAACAACTTTATCAATCCGATCCGAAATGAATATTTTGGTTCCGAAATCCGAACGGATCGGTTTCGGATCGGAACTGCACACCTCTAATGTATAGCTTTAATATTAGTTATGTTCACGAAATTACACGGCTATCGTATGATATAAATAACGTTTATTTGTTGTCTACTCGCATGCAAATATCGTCATAAATTCACTGTAGGCTATCAAACCATTTCTATCTCGGTCTAAAAAATTGATGACATCTTCGTTCAACACACCGAGCCCCCTTAACCCGATCATAAATTTATCACTTGATATTGTTTCCCGGTATGCATTGCTTTGACCGAGTGCTCGAAAAAACTGGAACGAGTGAAGTTGGTTTGTTATTGCGTAATCTCTCAATATTTTGCAAGGGTTCATTTGTTTCGGCGCAGTGGCCTGGTACGAGTCTTGCGGCGTTATGTAACCATGGTAAATATTGACGTCAGCTCTAGTTGTCTTGAGTTCTGTTGAGACCTGAATTAAAAATAGGAAATTGAATTATTAAATGGAGTAGTATCCTTCACACGCGCGTAAACTAATTTATTCACACTGGATAGCTCTATCAGTTCTCCTAAATAATCTAAGACTAAGACGATTTTGTTAAGATTGTGAAATGCAGGCTACCCGTATATTTATTACTTTTGCTACTCGATTACCTGTTTTGTTTTCATACTTCCTGCTTGGCTGCTTCTGTTCGTCCGGCGAAGAAATAATACAATATACATAGATCACGTCTTTTCATTTTGATTATTTATAAAATTAATTAATTTATTTTTAAAATGGCTTCAGTTTAATCCTATGTTGACTGGCAATCGACAAAGAACACCGTCTTAGAAAGAAACAGTCATATGTTCAACAATTCAGACATGAGTGATATCAGTTTTACTTGCGAAGATTCACACCAGACATTTTACGCCCACAAGTACGTTCTTGCCACAAGTAGTGCTGTATTTAAAGCGATGTTTTATGGTGATTTAGCAGAGAAGAATTCAGTTCTTCATCTCAGCGATACAGATGAGAAAGGTCTGGAGGAATTTTTGAGGTTTCTCTACACAGATGAATGTAATTTGACAACAGACAATGTTGTATCGGTCATCAATCTTTCCAAGAAATACATCGTGCCTTCACTAACGGAGAAGTGTGTGAAGGCTGTGGAAAGAATGCTAAAGGCCGAGAATGTGATGAGCTTTTTAGAACAAGCAACGCATTTTGATGAGAGAAAATTACAGACGAGTTGTTTGAAATTTATAAAATCAAACACGAAGCAAGTAGTTGCGTCAGAACATTTCAATAACATCAGCCAAAAGACACTGGCGAGTTTACTAAAGCTTGACTGCCTGGATATTTCTGAAGTTGAACTGTTTCAGGCTGTATTGAAATGGAGCGACTTTCAGTGTTCGAAGAAAGATATGGATGCAACAAGGGAGAACAGAAGGTCTTTAATTGGTGATGCTATTTATGACTTGAGATTTCTCGCTATGAATGAAAAAGAGTTTGCTAAGAATGTTGCAACATCCGAACTACTCACGTCTGAAGAAATAGTTCCCATTTATAATAAATTTAATGGAATTGAATCACCTGACCTAAAGTGGAAAATATCAGAGAAACGGGGTTATAACACACCGAAACCAAGAGCTTTCCCGGAACGTTCTGCCGCTCAGTTGGCGAATATGCCATATGTGACCTATAATTCCAGATGAAATCCTACGAGACTTTAAGTAGTATATCCAACACGAGTAAGTGTTCTTCCTTCGATTTCTAAATACAGACAAACAGGTTGAAAATAAAAGGCGAAGCGGAGTATTTTTACCAGCTTGTCTGTATTTAGAAATCAGAGGAAGAACACTTACTCGTGTTGGATATATAGCTTCTCAAACGAATCTATACTTTAAGAGAAAATCGAGTTTAAAGTTGACAAAAAACGGTTGTGCTCTTCCTCTTATATCTCAATACAGAATTAATATGCATTTCTTTTGAATTTCTTTCATGAATTATTAATGATTTGAGAAATTCATTAAAAACAATGGCAATCGACAAAGAAAAGCGTTTCAGAAAGAAACAGTCATGTGTTCAACAATTAAGACATGAGTGATATCAGTTTTACTTGCGAAGATTCACACCAGACATTTTACGCCCACAAGTACGTTCTTGCCACAAGTAGTGCTGTATTTCATGCGATGTTCTATGGTGATTTAGCAGAGAAGAATTCTTTCTAAGAAATTCCTCGTGCCTTGGCTAATGTGGAATGAATGATAAAACCCCAAAAATGTGATGAGCTTTTTAGAACAAGGAGCGCATTTCTCGCTATGACTCGAAAAGTGTTTGCTAAGAACGTTGCAACATCCGGACTACTCACGGCTGAAGAAATTATTCTCATTTATAATAAATTCAATGGAATTGATTCACTTGATCTAAAACGGAAACTACCAGGGAAACGTTCTATCGATTATAACATCGTTTTCCCCGATGGTGTTCCCAAATTCAGAGAAGCAGTCACCCATCATCGTAAGAACATGAAAAGAAAGAAACCAAGGAAGAAAATAAAGTAGAACGATGGGACGAAGAGTTATGAAGGTCAGAAGAGAGGAAGAGGGGGTGAAGGTCCTATAGGCGATAGCTCTATGAGTGGCTTACCAGGATTAGATAGTGGACCAGAAGGTGGACCACCAGGCGGAATAGCCGGACCAGGAGGTGGGGATTAACTAGAAAACCTAACGGTTCATTTAGCTTCCAAGCTCTAAAAATGTTATTTAATTATAAATTCTATCTATGTATCAATTATTTAAGAATTGTGTATTATTTATGTATAATTCTATCGAAGAGTGAAATAAAGTTGTATTGTATTGTATTGTTTGGGTGGAGTTGGCCCCTTAGGAGGTGGAGGAGGTTTGGGTGCGGGTCTAGGTGGTGCTCTAGGAGGTGGTGGTGGTCTTGATGGTGGGCTAGGTGTATTAGGTGGTGGATTAGGCGGTGGGTTAAGTGGGGGGGGGGGTAGATGGGGATTAGGAGGGGGATAAGGTCTAAGGTTGCGAAACCCAATCATAAAATAATTTTCAATTGACGTTTCGACTAGTTTGCAGTCGTTCTCAGGATTCTGAATTTGGGTGAAGGAGAAGAAAGGAAATTGTGAAGAAGAATGAGATTCCTGTTTCTGTTTTCTAAGAAATGTGAAGGAATTCTCGGAAAGAACTGAGAATTGTTATAGCAAGGACACGATATTTTCATGTAAAGAATTGTCCTATAAAGAATTTGAAATTTGTATATAAGGACCTCAGTACGTCAAAATTATAATGTTTAATTGCTTGCAGCAAAAGATGACTAAAGATTTTCTAAGAAATATTGAATCTAGTAAAAGTTTTTTACATTCGCTTTATTTCTTGGATTTTTTTATAACTTGGACTGCTTGATCTTACTAGACCGAGATTGGTCAGTATTTTTTGTGGCGACTACAAAATTCTGGAAATTTTTCAAGAGAAACACAATTTACGATTGAGAACGTTGTTTCTCTTTGTGCTTCTAGTTTAAACTTAGTTCAGTGAATTTAAAATAATTTCTGACAAATGATGTACTATGCTAGGGAAAATAATCTGAAATGTATATGTAAATTTTGTAATCATAAATAAAGAAATATAGTGAAACAGTGTTATGCAAATTGGTATGCTTAAAACAAACATTGATTGAAAAATTTCTTTCTTATTGATAATTGTCCACGTTGCATGTATTTTCTATCAAACAACTATTTTTGTGGTTTGATAATAATTTCGCAGTAAAAAGGGAAGTCTGTTCAACGTCTTGTTTTAATCACTGATGGTTTGATCCATATCTTGGTTTTGTCACCGTTGTTTCTCAGGGCGCTAATATTCGGATTGTGTTTGATATTTCCGAGCTCAACTTTGCCGTGTGAACTTGTCTTTTGAAGGGTTCTTGGAAATTTTGAGTGTAAATATTGCACATTGATTTAGACCTAACCAGAAACAGTTGCGAAAAATACAACTATATGCCTTCTGACAGAAGTCGAACCTGCGATTCCGATGCAGCTGTCGTTGATATTACGACTTCAAACGACCCTCTAACAAACTGGGTCGGTTGTTCAGAGCTGGGTTAGCGCTAACCCTGGGTTAAAATTTAAACTGCTGTTTCAGTTTATGTATTTCTGCACGTCTGTTTGTTTCAAAACTTCAGAGAAGAAAACTCCAACTGAATACAGACGAGATTTGTAAAGAAATATTTCCAAATTTATAACCAAGCTGGCGGGAAGTTTGCTTTGAATTTTAGGTTAACCTAGGGTTAAGCTTATTGGCTGCCGAACAACCAGAGCTATAAGTGTAAGGCCCAAGCTCATGTGTACCTACTTAGGTCCATTGTATATCGAGAAGTACATGTTTTCCGTTGATTAGGTTGAGTCGGGGCTGTCGAAACATTTTCCACGAAGGTCAAAGTCAACGCTGGACCCCCACAGATTTTGCTTATTATACTATCAAATTACATGTTTCGCTTTCAACTTTTTATACTTCCTGCTTTGTCTTGGCTGCAAGTGTTCGTTGGGCGAATAAATCTCTTCAATACAAATCACGACTTGTCATTTCGATTATTTATAAATTCATCCTTTCTAAAATGGCGTTCGCTCAATACGACGTACACAATAAATACGACTGCGAGAAAGTGGCGGAACCAGAGTTAGTTCAATCCAAAAGCAATCTAACATCGAAACGAATGCCACCTCAGCCCGATGAAGAAAAGCAATCAGCTCATTCCGTAGACTGGCAATCAACAAAGAAAAGCGTCTTAGAAAGAAACCGTCATATGTTCAACAATTCAGACATGAGTGATATCAGTTTTACTTGCGAAGGTTCAGGCAAGAAATTCTACGCTCATAAATATGTCTTGGGCACCAGTAGTGCTGTATTTCGTGCGATGTTTTATGGCGACTTGGCAGAGAAGAATTCAGTTGTTCATCTCAGAGATACGGATGTGAAAAGTCTAGAGGAATTCTTAAGATTCCTCTACACTGATGAATGTAATTTGACAACACACAATGTTGTATCAGTCATGTATCTTTCTAAGAAATATATAGTGCCTTCACTAACGGAGAAGTGTGTGAATAACTTGGCAAGTAGTATAAAAGCCGAGAATGTGATGAGCATTTTGGAACAAGCAACGCATTTTGACGAGAGAAAATTAGAGATGAGTTGTTGGGAATTTATAAAATCAAACACGAAGCAAGCTGTTGCGTCAACAGATTTCAATAACATCAGCCAAAAGACACTGGCGAGTTTACTGAGACGTAACGAGCTGAATATCGTTGAAGTCGAATTATTTCGAGCTGTGTTAAAATGGAGTGACTTTCAGTGTTCGACGTCGACGAAGAATGGAGATATTGAGGAAAACGGGGAGACCAGAAGGACTGATATTGGTGAGTGTTCGAAGAAAGATAATGAGGTAACAAAGGAGAGAAGAAGGACTAGAAGGTCTGTAATTGGTGATGCTATTTATGATCTGAGATTTCTCGCTATGACTCAAAGAGAGTTTGCTCAAAATGTTGCAACATCCGGACTACTCACGGCTGAAGAAATGATTCCCATTTATAATAAATTCAATGGAATTGATTCACGTAATCTAAAGTGGAAACTATCAGGGAAACGTTCTTTGTGGCTATACGAAACAGATTGCATTGATAAGGAATCAGAGAGTAAGGGATATAACTACGGTAACGAAGAGACGACTAAGGCGAGTGACACTAATAAATCAAATGATAAGGGATCAGAGAGTAAGGGATATAACTACGGTAACGAAGAGACGACTAAGGCGAGTGACACTAATAAATCAAATGATAAGGAATCAGAGAGTAAGGGATATAACTACGGTAACGAAGAGACGACTAAGGCGAGTGACACTAATAAATCAAATGATAAGGGATCAGAGGGTAAGGGATATGAATACGGTAACGATGAGGCGTGTGACACTTTGATGTATAGATATGAAAAAGGACGGAAAGGAAAAAGACGGTAGTTGAGAACAGTTTTCGTTAAGCCAATTCTTTAATATTCGGCATGCTTTTTTATTATTTGCGCTTGGCCGCGGATTGCAGTACGCTTTATTATATAGTTGTAAATATTTATTATATAATATTTTTGTGTGATACACGAACACGGCCCTTTGATAATAACTAATTGTGAAAGTCTACCGTGTTTAAATATTCTTATATAATAACAATAATCAATTTGACATTACTCGAACATTGAATTGTTAATAGCTGATAAAACGTTTCATTTCAAGAACTTTGTGTATTCATATTTCATAGAGATTACCTGTTTAATTAAGGATTTAATGGTTATGGTATCGATTAAATAAATTGGGATTTGAAATATGAGGCTCTTTGTTAAACGTCGCGCTTATCATGTGCTGAACCTAACATTAGTTACGTTCATGAAGTTGAGTTAAAATACTCATTAAAAATTCATAAACCTTGTGGCAAATCATGTCAGCCATAATATGTCACGCGGAGTGACTTTATATCTGATAAAACTCATCTTGACATCTTCACTAGCCTATTCTTTATGTAATTCTTCATCCTAATTAGTATGATTATATAATTGTTCATCCTAATTAGTATTCTTTTGTAGTCGTATTTTAAGCTATTCAAAACACTCGAACTCGTGTTTTATCATATCTAAAACGCTCGGCTGCGCCTCGCGTTTTAAATATGATAAAACACTCCTTCTCGTGTTTTAAATAGCACTTCAAACACTCATTAATAATTCATAAGCTTATTGGCAAATCATGTCAACCATAATATGTCACGTGCAGTGGCTTTAAACCTGATAAAACACTCCTAATTAGTATTCTTTATATAAAGAATACTAATAAGGCAGAATCCATTGTAGTCGTGTCCTCATTAGTATTCTTTATATAAAGAATACTAATAAGGCGGTATATCTATTGAATTTGTAGTCGTGTTTAATAAACTCTCAGGTCGTGTTTTATTAGGTCTAAAGCCACTAGAGCGCGCGCTCGTGGCTTTAGACCTAATAAAACACTCCTGCTCCCTTACAATCTCATACCCAGAGCAATACCGCGCCGGCTAGGATGGCATTGGGTCTGGGGAAATTGACAACCGGAACCCCTAAATTTAGGGGTTCCGGTTCTTTGTCGGCATGCACGATTGATAAACGTTAAACCAATCACAGCACAAGAAAAATTCAATTTCCCCAGAGCCAATGTCATCCTAGCCCGCGTACAGGCATTGCTCTGGGTACGATATTGGCTCCCTTATTAAACAGTACTTTATAGGTCTGTTTACACTTGCAATTTTTTGCTGCGATTTCGAGTGCGATCTTCTTCTGACGCATGTGAACGAGTGGATGAGTTATGAATGTTGTGAGTACATGTTCCCTCATCTGAACATTCACAACTCATCCACTCGTTCACATCCGTCAGAAGAAGAAAATCGCACTAGAAATCGCAGAAAAAACTGCAAGTGTCTAAACGAGCCTTATCGTACAATAAATAATGTTTATTTGTCTACTCGCATGAAAATATCGTCATAAATTCACTGTAGTCTATCAAACCATTTCTATCTCGGTCTAAAAAATTGACGACGTCCTTTATCTGATGATCGTCAAAAACACCGAGTCCCCTTAACCCGATCACAAATTCATCACTTGATATTGTTTCCCGATATGCATTGCTTTGACCGAGTGCTCGAAAAAACTGGAACGAGTGAAGTTGGTTTGTTATTGCGTAATCTTTCAATATTTTGCAAGGGTTCATTTGTTTCGGCGCACTGGCCTGGTACGAGTCTTGCGTTGTGTAACCATGGTAAATGTTGACGTCAGCTCTTGTTGTCTTGAGTTCTGTTAAGAGTTGAGTCGTCTCTTTAGTTAATGGTATTTGACCTGAATTAAAAGTACGAAATTGAATTATTAAATAGAGTGTTCTTTATAACACGCGCGTAAACTAACTTTATTTATTCTGGATAGTTGTATCATTTCTAAACTGTTCTCCCTAGAGGTCCTATAAGGATTTTCTCTTATTGATTCAGTGTTACTACAGGAGGAAACCTGAACTAAACTAATCCGGGCTCACGGATCGAAAGCTTTGCAGTAATAAATTTACGTGGTATTTCCACAAACAAAACTATTATATGTTTTATCGCCATGCAAACATACAAAGAACTTATAAAGGTGTATCAGTTTTAAAATGTTCTCCCTAAGACCGATAATGCCCACCACTTATGACCATTATCACGAAACTGAATTAATTTTATCCAACTGTTCTTTCTAGAGATCCAGGGAGAGTCATCACATTGGAAAGAAACTGCAGCATATCAAGAAAATCTGAGGTGTCTTAGAGTGAGACTGTAAGTAAACTAACATTTTAATCAGTTCCATCTAAACGTTTCTCTCCAGACATTTCTTGAATCATGCACGACGGTTCAGTTATATTTTAAGATCAGGGGCCGGTTGTACGAAGCCTGTTTACCTTAATATCCGGTGGATAACCAAGACTACATGTTCATTTAAGACCAAAACTAAAGTTTTTCAACATGAATAGAGCAATAATGTTTGCAACTGCATATTCAATATATAAATTTTAAGTTTAGCCATTCACAAAATGTACGAGAGAGTTATTTTATCATTGACTTATCCACCGTTTACGCTAAACGGACTTGGTACAAAACCGACCCCAGAGCATTACCTATGTTGACTATTTTCAACTCAGTTTTTTCCTCCTGCAGTAATATCAATAAAATTTCTAGTGCTTTGTTTAAACCAAAACAACTATTTCTTGAAATGTCCAACTTTTGCAGACGACATTTTTCTAAGACTTTCACAAGTTCTAGGAAACCCGAATCAGAAATATTATTCCTGGACAAATTTAACTCTTCCAGTGCGGTATTTGTCTCCAATCCCCCTACAAGAGCGCGGATTCCGAGATCGTCAACACCATTCCAAGATAGGTCGAAAATGTGTAGCGCCTGATTGGTTGAGAGTGCGGTTGCTATGGGAACTACACCATGACGTATGAGGTTCCAGCTTAGGTTCAGCCGTTGAAGTGTAGTATTGTAGGTTAAAGCTTCGGCTAATGCTGTTCCGGCGTTTTCGCTGAGTTTATTATGACTTAAGTTGCAATCTTGTAGCGTTTTGTTGCTTTTGAGAGCTTCGGCTAATACAACACAAGCTTTATCGTCGATTTTATTGCCCGACAAATCTAAAACAGCGAGGCTTTTACTTCTTTGGAGCAATTCTGCAAAAATTTCAGCGCTGTTATACGCGAGCTTATTTCCCGCCAAAACTAAAACTCTCACCAGGTCCCGCTCCACCATAGCGCTGGCAAGATACAAGGCGCCCTTGTCTGTTATCAAATTATTAGATAAATCTAAGGTAGTGACCGTTTTATTCACTAGCAAAGCGTTTGAAATTGCTTTGCAATCAGTATCGTTTAAATTTCGGTGAGTTATGCGTATTTCATCGCTGCATAGTTGATGTAAGAGCCGTTTAATCGGCACTACACCCATGCATTCACAGGCTTGCAGGTAAAGCGTGCGGGCATTACTCCCCTGCTTGACGTTTTCGAGTGATTCTGGGAAATGTTGTTCAAATTCTAACTCTGTTTCAAGACAACTGCTCGCAACAGATTCTCGACCGCTTAAAGTTTCGTCTGTTAAATCATCGTCGCTAAATGGGGAACACGCATCTTTGTGTTGCGAACATATCCTTTGGGCAGACCTAGAAATGATAAAAATCCTACAATTAAAAACGAACAGTCCTTGTTTCAAATATTCCACAATAAGCTACAGTGGTTTGTGTTTGAACTCCCAGGGGCCAGTTGTACAACTCACTGCTCTTAGCTTGACTGCGGTCCCAGTTTCAAGGTGTCAGCCATCAAATTTTCCCATTTTCTACGGAAGAGATTATTTCGCTGGCCTCAGAGTGACAAAACGTAACAAAGCAACGGTTTTACTAACACTAACCCTACTCCAAACACCAACTCTAACCTTAACCTTACCCTAACCTAACCCTATGCCAAATTTGTTTCTAAACCAATCTTGAAGGAAAAAGTTTTGACGAAATGTCATTCTGAGGTCAGCGAAATAGTATTTACTATTTTCCACATACAGAATCCAAGTACAAACCACAGTACAGTTTTTAATAACACAGCAAACTCGCCCAAAACACAACAGTAAAAGCGAACAGTAACTGCTCTCAGTTTGTGGTAATTCTGATGTGTACCAGGCTTTTATTCAATGATTTTGTCTCTACTTTAGTATTCCTATTGTGTTACTGACAATGGAGATTTCGCCTGCAACTTCTCGACGATGTCGGTGGAATGCACACTTCACGGAAAATTAGTAAGTAATACAGTAAAACCCCGCATATAAGAACCTAGATTTTCCAAGTTAGCCTAAACAGGTTCTTACGTAAATGATGCTTACCAGGAAATTAGGCTAGACAGGTTCTTAAATAGGTTCTTATTTTCTTAAGAGAAAAGCGACTCACTTAGGGGAGGTATACCGGGTGTCCCAAAAAAAAGTACTCCGGTTTGATTCGTAATAACTTCTAAACAAGTACACCTTTTAAAGTGAAATAACTTGCATCAAATAGAGGAAGGACTAACTTAGATTTTGATATATTACAGTTGTATTTCACGTAAAAATTCACGGAGATATTAATGTTTCAAATCGGGAGCATATTTCTGGATGTGTCTGAAATATGCAAAAAACGGCGTATCAAATATTAATCAATATTTGCCAGACTAAAACATGCACGATTACCAGTAAATAAATGACACTTGACAAATTGTTTATTATGAAACAAAGTATTATTATCTACAAAATACAAGCAAGATTTATTCGTCCGAAATCCGTGTGTGTTCCTAGCACGAATATGTTTCCTTATTTCATGAGACCACTGCATCGCGAAGGATCGTCATGGACGGACTGTTCGTAGTTCTGAATTATGGCATGCTGTCACAATGGAATTGTGAAGCTCTTCTAACATCTGCAACGTCCTGAAATCTTGTTTAAGAACACTCAAACTCATTTGCCTTTTCTTAATCTTTTTAAGTTCAGAATAAACTGAGAATGAAACACAATCAAACCATACAACTTCATAAAACATAAAATTAAGCATGCAACTCCCTGGAGACATCCAACATTTTTTGAACAAAACGTAACAAAATAGTAGCGTTGATACTGTGATGTGTTTTTGCAAAAAGCAATATTATTTCCTTCATTGCAGAATAATATTCATCCTGCTCTAACCGAGAAATAATCAACTCTGTTTTGAACCCATGAAAAACATAAAAAATTAGGCTAAGAAAAATGTAAGCGCCTGCCGTGCATGGTCTTTGATGTATCTTATAAATTTGTAAAGTTTGTAAAGACCTATTAAATACTTGCATAATTTCGTACGTTCATATTTCAGGAAACAATGAGCTAAGACTTACATGTAAGAAGTCTAAATCTACGCCATATCCCTTACAAACCCTAACGACAATTCGCTGAAATACAAGTTAGCCTGATATGTCATCAAGCAAACAAACGCTGAAGTTAATATTTGATATGCCGATTTTCGCTAAATTTAGACACATCCCAAAATATGCTCCCGATTTTGAACATTAATATCTCCGTGAATTTTTAAGTAAAATACAACTGTAATATATCAAAATCTAAGTTAGTCCTTCCTCTATTTAATGCAAGTTATTTCTGTTTGATAGCTTTACTTATTTAGAAGTTATTATAACCGGAGTACTTTTTTTTGGGACACCCGGTATATGGTGTATGATTTACGTAAATTATGCACAAATAATCAAAAACTGAATAACATGCAGTGTATGCACTACAGTATACCAACTCTATATGCACTTTAAAGCTACAGTACACTGATTGGAACTTTGACTTAAGGCTGCATTCCAGTTACGCGTTTTTCATACGTGCGTACATGCTCGTAAAAGTTGAATTCGCTTTACATCCTACTTATGATATAACTAAATTTATAAAAGGACAGCATTCAGTTTTGTGTATGATTTAATGTGTATTTGTTAAGGTTATTTGCACTTATATGAAATTTTAAGCGAATTCAACTTTTACGTGCGTATGAAAAACGCGTAACTGGAATGCAGCCTTTAATTAATTTTGATTCTATTTGATAGTATAAGAATCTGTTTTAAAATTCTAGCCTGAACAAGTTCTTATCTAAACTGAGGAGGTCTAAATGAAATATTTTAGCCTATAACAGGTTCTTAAATTCTAGGTTCTTATATGCGGGGTTTTACTGTAGTAGAAATTCTACAAAAATTACCATACGTTACCTTTCTTGCTCAAAATTCATCCTTCTCTTTTTGCGCTTGTGCCGGGTATCGCTTTTGCTGAAATGCTAGTGCAGCTCTGAGATGTTTACTTTAGTGTCAACGAAGGATTCTGTGTATTTGCCAAGGCTTTGCTTGTGTTTACTTTCAGTTTGTTCCTTGTGTTCACAGGTTTTAAAAGGATGAAGATGAACAAAGCGGCAGAGTGCGTGTGTGGTATATAAAATACATAATCTGATGTGCTTTTGAAGAGCATTTGTATTCGAGCTTTTTAAAACAAATAGGTACTGCATGAACAAGCACTGTCTGAGAACTTTTAAAACATAGGTACTCGTTTTTATCTCGCTTATGAACTAACTTTATTTCAACTAAATAGCGCTATCTATTCAAACTGCTCTCTCTGCAGATCCAGTATACAGGAGGAAACCTAAACTAAACTAACTTTAATTAAACTGGATAGCTCTATCAGTTCTAAACTGTTCTTCCTAGAGGTCCAGTAAGGATCATCTCTTATTGATCCAGTGTTACTACAGGAGGAAACCTAAACTAAACTAACTTTAATTAAACTGGATAGCTCTATCAGTTCTAAACTGTTCTTCCTAGAGGTCCAGTAAGAATCTTCTCTTATAGATCCAGTGTTACTACAGGAGGAAACCTAAACTAAACTAACTTTATTTGGATAGTTCTATCAGTTCTAAACTGTTATTGATCCAGTGTTATTACAGGAGGAAACCTAAACTAAACTAACTTTATTTATACTGGATAGCTCTATCATTTCTAAACTGTTCTTCCTAGAGATCCGGTTAGGGTCATCTCTAATTGATTTAGACGCAATTTTAATAAAAAGTAGACAAATCACTGATACTATAATAGTGCTTGTTAATCTATTTACATACGTATTTCTAGTCAAGTCATTTCCCTTTAGTTTAGTCTGTGGCCTTTGCAGGGGTCGGAATTGAAATCCTCCTGTCCATAACTCTTTCATTCTCTGGCCGAGGTATCTGTTTACGTTTGTCGGAATCTAAGTTCATATCAATTGCGTCATCGTTGCGATGTAACGCTGACTCGGCAGTATTTGCTTCAACAGTGATCGGTCCAAATCCTACATGTTTTTTACGGAAAACTGTTCGACCGTCCGGTAACACCCGTTCGGTGTATGAGCCATCGTCTTGTATTCGCTCAGAACTCGGGGAGTTGTCGTATGATTCCGTTTGGTAATCGGAATCAGTCGTGGGGTAATCGGTTTCATAGTCATCTTCAAAATGTTTGTGTAGGGTATTTCTTCGTAGGGAACTTCTTCCGGGTATCATTGCCCGGCCTTGTACCGGACTGTTCCGAAATATTTCATCTTGAACATGTGAGGGGAATTCATCGTTGTAAAACATGGTTAAACGGGGTCCTTTGCGGATAATTGGGGTTCCCATTATTCCTGTTAATTCACCCAACTGAGCGATCCTATTTGATCCCTGAGGTACCCCACGTCGCGGTATGATTCCAGATCTTTGTGTCGCCATGGCAACGTAATGTGGCTGATATTCTGGTAGAACATTCATCTGCCTTGAGTGATAAAATTGATTCAGTCCATGATCAGGTGTGTACATTTGTGGTCTTGAGGGTACATTTAGCACAAATGTCCCCGGTGTCCTTTCAGGCAGGCTTAGTACAAGGTTTCGTGGTGACATCATCGTCGGAGTTTCGACCGGGGGATTGGTAACTACTGGAACATATGCTACTACTGGCTGTTGGATGGGCTGAACCACAGGTTGTGTTAGAATAAACTGTCGCTTCATGGCTTTGTTCCCATGGTGATTGCTGACGTGAGGTATTGTTTCTTTGATCTTCCCAGTTCCCTCGGCAGAGCGCTTGCTTCTTGACTTGCCTGTGTTGGCCTTTTCTATCGTATTTTTCTCACCGGTGATTTGTTCGGAGGTGTGAACGCCCGAGGTTGTTTTTTCCGAGGTGCTTTTCTCCGCGTTTGTCTTTGCTTGTTCGCCTGCGGAACTGTGGGGAATTGTGAGTCTTTTACTCAAGATTTGCAACTGACCTGAAAATAGACATATTCAGTGAAATTTGGTTTACAATTCGTTTGTCAAAGTTTTGTGTCTTTTTTCGTCCCTCGTGTTTCGTTAATTTACAAATACGTTGAGTTTGGAAAGTTTTAAACACTACAGTTCATGAGATATCTCTCTGTTCAAAGGATGCATGGACGCAGTATTGTCTCATTATTGGTTCTGGTCTTTGTTTCTGCACCTTAATTATTTTTGTTTTGTTCATTTCCAGAGTGTCTTCTCTTGTTTTGAATAGTCTTTGTTTCATGTCGATCTTAACGGTTGTCAGTCGTGAGCTAAAATTCCAGTCAGCTATCAGTAGTATATTTTGTAGGATATCAGTTCCAAATTACTGTTTCATTGCTCGTTAGCTATCAGTTAAGATATTTTGTAAGATATCAGTTCCAAATTATTGTTTTGTCGGATGTCAGTTCCAAATTACTGTTCCATCATTTGTCAGCTATCAGTTAAGATATTTTGTAAAACGTCAGTTTCAAATTACTATTCCATCGTTTGTCAGCTGTCAGGATATTTTGTAAGTCAGATCCGAACTACTGTTTCATTGGTCGTCAGCTATCAGTTAATATATTTTTTAAAATGTCGTGTCCAAATTACTGTTTCATCATTTGTCAGCTATCAGATAAGATATTTTGTAAAATGTCAGTTCCAAATTACTGTTTCGTTGGTCGTCAGCTATCAGAGTTTTGTTGAGTGAAAGTAAGTTCGTTCGAGGTTAAATGAGTAAGGATTATCTTGGATGAACAAGTACTACCTCTGTATTCTCACTAAACATACCTAGAGGTGTATACCCGGGATACATTAACCCACCGGGTATTCCATTGGGTATCAAAGCCCGGGTTGTCGGCACCTGGACACGAGGAAAAGCAGGGTTACTATAGTCCGGGATGAAATCTCGTGTAAGGATTGGATCATAGTATCCGTTGTATCCAGAGAGTGGAACGTGAAGCATGTTGGGATTGGACCAAGGGTGATTGAAGGCTGTCATCAGGGGGGAGATGGCCCGCATGTTTTGGTATCCCGGGAGGGCGGGCAAAAATATCGCTCTATGGATAGAGCTCCTAACGTCACCATTTGCCAAACCTGGCGAAATGTAGGATAATCGCTGACTCCATGGGGGAAATGTTCGCTGGCTCAACCCGTACATCGGTCGCGGAACCAAATTCCGCATTGCAGCTTGGGATGCGAGCAACCGCTGGACTAGAGGATGGACACGAATTGGCGCTGCATTGTACGGAACCACTTGAGCCAGAACTGGAACTTGCTGTATCCACTGTCGCTTACGAGAATTCTTCTCTGTTTTCTGAGAGTCTTTCGAATTTTTAGAAATTTTCGAATTTTTAGAATCCTCTGATTTTCTATTAATCTCCGATTTCTTAGAAATCTGTTTAATATGTTCATCTTTCTTTGATATTTTCGACGACGTGCCTTTTCCAGGAATCTTCTCTTTCTTGTAATTCCAGTTTCCCAAACTCGGGTCCATGTCGAAGAAATGATGTCGGCGTCGAACGGTACGACGATGCCCGATGACCATCGGCGGCGTTGACAAAACCGGCCCAGGGTAATATGGCGCTGGGTAGTACGGCGCTATATGGTAAGGGCCTGGTGGGGCATAGACCGCTGGATGCGGAACGGCCATTGCAGGCGCACCAGGTTTTGAGACGACCTGCAAAGATGCTGGTTTGGCATTCACTTTTACACCCATGGCATTCGCGTTGATCTCGAGCTCGGCAGCTTTATCGTCGACTTGAAAATGCGTCGGTTCTCCAGACATCGTCACTTTCTTATCGTCTGATGCTGTTGGCCTGCCTTCAGAACACTGTATTACCAACAAACACACCAGAATCTTTACTAAACACTGTCCAGCCATATTGTTTTGAATACAAATAAATAACTTTATCAAAGCTTTTACTAAACCTTAACCTTTTCCTCTTTGGCTAAATGATTTTCTCTGTATTTTAACGCTTGAATATCCCATTACTAACTACAAATTCCTCCAAATTTGACCAATTTTTACTCCATATTCTCGTTTCTTCGTATTGTTGAAGTGTGGCGTTCACGGGTGACCAGCTTTGGCATTGTTCGTTTATCAAAACAGTTTGAGAGCGACGAAAATAACGGGTGGTTTTCACTTTTAATCATTTGCTTGAATGCGTTTGTTGGCAGTTTCGTAGTTTTTTCATCATTTGATTATTTAATCCATTTTGTTTTTTCAATATATAAAGATAAAAACATGGTTTTGTTTGTAGTTTGGTAATTAACACAGTTTAAAAACAATGGACGACTTACGCTTTAGAAAAATTTTTAATCTGGGAATAACAAAGGATATTTTCTGAAAAAAGTTATCAAAATTAGAAAAACTGCAAAGTTTGGTTGCGAAATGTTGTAAAATACGGAAAATATAGCCCTGCGAAGTTGGCAAATTTGTGTACATTTCTATTACGTGCGGAAATTGGTAACTAATTTAGTTATCAATTCATGCACGTAATACAAAAGTATACAAATTTGCCAACTTTGAAGGGCTATATTTTCCGTATTTTACAACATTTCGCAACCAAACTTTGTAATATTACTAATTCCAAGACGCTCTTTCCAGCTGTGGTGATAGATTTCGTTGTTCTTACTTAGAGTAAAATTTAGTCTAAAGCGCAAGTCGTCAATTCACCAAATACAAAGTTGTTAATAACTTGACACCGCAACTAAGTTTAGTGACTTGTAGACCGACAAGTATCAAACAAAGGCTCTACCAGATAACTTTCCGTAGCGACGTGAAGAACACGTATCCGTACCTTTTAGGAACGCTATTTTCAGAGGAATTATTGGAACGGAGAGATGTTGTTTCGCTCAGCTCCTGAAAGATGTACATTCCGTATCAGATAGGTGCTTTTTCACGCCACTACGGAAAGCTTTCTGGTGTAGTGTCAACGTAGCCTAAGTCAGACTATATCACTTACTCTCTCCAGGGCATACTGAATTTAGTACCTGAATGCTTGAACTTTCTCTAAACGTGCGTAAATGCGTTAACAGATATTGGTCGGGAAAAAAGGTTTAACGCTAACCTCGTTCCCAGGGCTTTTCCCTTTTTGTCATTGGGAATGGGAAAAGCCCTAGGAACGAGGTTGGGTTTAACCCATTTTTTTTAACCTTAATTTAAGTGGTGTATGTCCGGGAAAAAATTTCACCCCTCCCCCCCTCCCCGTCCTCTCCCCTCGCCAACATTTTTTTGAAAAATAGGGGCCCCCGGAGTAAAAAATTTTGCAAATTTCGAATTTCTCTGATAGGCCCTGATGTTACATCTAATGATTTCGTGTGCTGAACTCCTTTGATTTGAGTATTATCAACACAAATATTAATAAGACTCATGGGTCACTGAGTCTCTGTCGAGAGCAAATGACCATAAGTTCTGTCTTAGCTGTATTTAGCTCAATCGATATCATTATGATTGAAAATACTAGCGGTTAACGGTCACTGAGTCTCTGTCGAGAGCAAATGACCATAAGTTCTGTCTTAGCTGTATTTAGCTCAATCGATATCATTATGATTGAAAATACTAGCGGTTAACGGTCACTGAGTCTCTGTCGAGAGCAAATGACCATAAGTTCTGTCTTAGCTGTATTTAGCTCAATCGATATCATTATGATTGAAAATACTAGCGGTTAACGGTCACTGAGTCTCTGTCGAGAGCAAATGACCATAAGTTCTGTCTTAGCTGTATTTAGCTCAATCGATATCATTATGATTGAAAATACTAGCGGTTAACGGTCACTGAGTCTCTGTCGAGAGCAAATGACCATAAGTTCTGTCTTAGCTGTATTTAGCTCAATCGATATCATTATGATTGAAAATACTAGCGGTTAACGGTCACTGAGTCTCTGTCGAGAGCAAATGACCATAAGTTCTGTCTTAGCTGTATTTAGCTCAATCGATATCATTATGATTGAAAATACTAGCGGTTAACGATGAAGGAGGAAAAATACCGCGGTTTGCGGAAAGATCGACCCCTATAATAGATCCCCAGAATCAGTGTGCTGTCCGCTGACCCTCAACAGCAATTAAATTTCTTGGAGTTCTAAGAAAATAATAACTTCAGCGGAATTTTTTCTATTTGGCTCAAGCTATACAAAACTTGATTTCAAACTTCAATGGGCGTACATTACTAAATAGGGCAACTGCATGAGTGAAACGGAAAACTTTTTCTTTATCTGCCTGCTAAATTTTCTGCAAGTTACGGCCATCTTTTTTCTCGAGGTCGTTCTAATGAGTACAATTTATCAATTTTTTGCCTTAATTGAGACAATGTATACTTTTATGTTTTTAGATTCCAGAGAGACTATCTTAAAATACGGAGGGGGACAGAAAAGCTGTCCTGCCTTCGTGAAGGTTAAAACTGTTTTGAAATTCCCGGAATCGCCGTGTCGAGTGACCACGCTGAGGGAAACCAAAAACAGAAAGAAAGCGATTGTCTCCTCCTTAAGGGCTAAATCCATGGAGGAACTCAAAGCCATGGGAGAGAAAAGGTACTTGGTATAAAAGTATATTTTACATTCTGCAACGTAGGCTATACGGATTAGTCACTCAGAGATGTCGTTCCGAAAATCTTGCGATCTCTGCAATAAGTAAAAATGAGCCATACAGTCTTAACAACTTTATGGGTAAATATCAAGATTTTGTTGGTATCTCACTCGTTTGAATAATATTTGAAGGGTCTTGTAGATGGAAATTATCGAATAACCAGACAAGTTATGGCTGGATTCCCTGCAGGGTTGTACCATAGATACATGTATCTTGTATACACTAGATAGCGCATCTCTTTATAGTAAAATATTCCAGCGGTTACCCCCATTTGAATAGATGGCGGCCATGTTGGAGTTTCCCACTCGCTAATAAACGCTTAAAAACAACAATAACTTTCATCATTTGAACAGTTTGAAAATGTATTTGGAATAGGTTTACCTTAATGTTTAAGTTCCCTGTTTAAGAAATAGAAAACGTACGAGTCTTCTCATTTCATGGGAATATCCTGAGTCTGCAATCACGGCTTCAATTTTTGA